AAGCAAGATTTCCCCTCTTTCCCCATTTCGTTGTTTCTTATGAGATATATGATGTTTTCTTGTCATGTTTTACTGATCCTTCAGGAGTTACTACAAATGCACAAATGCTGGATGCCCTGTTAGAAAGCATGTGGAGAGGGCGTCACATGATCCAAAAGCAGTTATAACTACATATGAGGGGAAACACAATCATGATGTACCTACAGCTAGGACAAACAGTCATGACACAGGACCATCAGCTGTGAATGGAACCTCAAGGACGAGACCAGATAAAAATGAGACAATTAGCCTTGATCTTGGGGTCGGGATCAGTTCTAGATCTGAAAACTTGTCCAGCGATCAGCAACAAGCTTTGCATGCTGAACTTGTCAGATTCGAAAACCAAGCAAGTAGTGGTTCCAGTTTCAGAATAGTTCATGCGAGCCCAATTGCGGCTTACTATGGTGTTTTAAATGGTGGCATGAATCAGTATGGATCTAGACAAATTCCGAGTGAAGGCCGTAGCATTGAAATTCCACCTTTAAACCGTTCTTCGTATCCATATCCGCAGAACGTGGGAAGTTTATTAACGGGTCCATAAGTTTGTCTACTTTGTTTAAATTTGTCTCTTGCCTTCTAGCTGGTAAATAACAGAAAGGTTAGAAACTGAATTTAAAAATTATGTATTGCTCTCTATATATTCTTGCTGATGGTCTTAGAGCTTATATCTGGTGTTGGGATCTTCCCTTTCGTGTGCTCTCCTCCCTCCTGTTTCCATTTCATGAACTTTTATGACCACTAAGAGTGTGTGCAAATGCTTACAAAAAATTTTGATTTTTTTTATTTTAATTTTTGTTTTAATTTTGGATTGTTTTGATGGGGAGATATTAAAAATAAATTTTAAAAAATAAAAATAAAATATTATTTTGATATATTTCTAAATAAAAAATATTTTGAAAAGTAAATTTTAAATATTAATATTTTATTTTTTTTGAAAATAGTAATGTAAATAGTGGTTTTAATTAGTGATGTAGAAATTAAAATAAGTTTCTTTTCTTGTTTCTTTTTATTTTTTTCAGATTTTCATCTAATATCATAGTTGTTTTTTATATTGAGTTGTATTATGTTAATGCTCATCAAGCAAGGATAAAAGTCCTTAAAAGATGGCCTTACAATTTACATGTGCTAATGGTAGATTCCAATCCTTTGAAAGCATATTTTAAAGGAATGTATCACTTTTGGTTATGAAAACCCTTTGAAAACAAAATTGGTCAAATAACACAATTACCAAAAGTTTTGGAGAAATAAAATAGTTTAACACATGTTGTGATTAAAAAAAAAAAATTGACATCTTATAATATTGTTAAATGAAAATGCTATATTTTTAAAAAATTGTTAAATAGACTTATATGAGTTAACATGAGGATGAGGGGAGAGAGAAAAATAAAGAGATTTTAAAAGTATATCGAAGCTTCATTATGATATCACCTGTATTATAAAAAAGATCTCAAAAAAATGAATTTAACGACATTAAAAAAGATCATTAATTTTGACAAGAGTGGATCACACTTTCTGTTCAAAGGCACATGAGGCATTTCGAAGCTCCAATTATAACACTAATATTATCATCATAAAGATCTCGATGAGATGAATCTAATAACATCAATAAAGATTACTAATGGTAACCGAAGTGGGCCATATGTAATGATGACTCATTTTCCTTTCGATGGAGGGCATACCAAACTGTATTATTTCGCCAATCGCAACATGTATTAAACTATGTTATTGATGATAATGCAAAATATCATATTTTTCTCATAACTAATGGTGACTAGAGTGCGCCACATGTAATGATGACTCATTTTTCTTTTGACGGAGAGTGTACCAAATTATATTATTTCACCAATCACAGCATGTATTAAATTATGTTATTAATGATAATGCAAAATATCATATTCTTCTCTCTTAATATTTAGTCTTTATACTTATCTGATGTCTAAATGTACTTATTATTTTTATATTTTGATTTAGGATGCAAATGGAAGCATTAAGTGCAAAACAAAGTTAATTGGGTGATTTTGGACAAATTTAACACCTCTATGTAATCTTTTGTAATCTAGATTTCCACAACTTTCATGTCTTGAGTTTTGAGAAATATTGGATGTATCAAGGTCAAAATCAAGCTTGAAGTTATTGTACTTGCAATGCTGATGTTATATAACGTTCTTTAGCTTGCAATTTTGTAAGGAAGTTGTTAAAAGGAATAAGGGCTTTAAGAATAGTGAGAATGGTCATTATGCATCTAGTGTGTGAGATATTGATTGTAATAAAGATGAGAATCCATTTTTCTAATTTTGTTATGAATTGTTTATGAGGAGATATAATGTAAGAGAAGGGCATACATGTACTATTTTAGATTAAAGGACTATCAAATCCAATACTTTTACTTGGAAGACCATTAATGAAAAATCTATCCAGCCTCCTTCTTCTATAAGTGAGTTCAATGGGCATAAGGAGGAGATTGATATTGAAGTTAAGGAAGGTGATATGGATAGAGAGTGTACTGATCAAGAATCTATGTTTTTAATATTGGTAGGTCCTCTTTAATCTTATTTGAATTCTATCAGCAAATGACATGTTAATTGATTAGTAATTAAAAGTGCATTTTTATCAAGGTTTTATATCATCATTTTGCATTTGAAGTATCAATAACTCCTTAACTAAAGCATGTTTTATAATAATATATCTAATAATATAAGATACCTTTAATTTAAGGTAAATGTTCATTTTAAATTGAGGCCTATCACATAAATAAAAGGATTGATTGATGAATTTAAGAACTGAAATTGAAAGGACAAAAAGATGGCCAAATTTAGAAAAGGGATGCTGGTGCAGTCCATACCGGAACACTGTTCG